CCCTTAAAAAATTAACTTAGTTAAACCTAATTAATTATAATAAAACAAGATAAAATATAATTATCAAATATATTATAAATTATTGTAACGAATGTTTTATTTCTATCAGCTCCCATAGGGAATAATTGTGATTGGTGTGGCTAATTGTATATATCTCTGTTATTGTTGAAAGTAACTCGTAATGCTTATATTTCTCTGCTTGAATTGTAAATACTGTTAATCTTCATTAACTGGGTACCTCGTACCCTTCTTCACCTTGCTTCTTTTACTTGCTGAAACTTGTGTCTACCTTCTGATTCTCTTATTCCTTTTTACCATATGAGTGGATAGATATTTTTGTCTTAGGGATCCTTATCAAGAAGCTTACACGTCTTAGTACACACATGTTCTGCTGAAGACCTCACATTTATTCATCACAAGCATGATGCAAAATCGACTGTCTTTTGGATGTAGGTATCGTCTTATTACGAATAAAATAGAATTGAGGAGTTTAAATTCTTACCACTAAGCTCTACCACAAGATCTAGAGTAAGAAGAAAGAATGACAGCCCTAAATGCCCTGTAGCCTCCTGCTTATAAGTGTTGTGCACAACACACCCATAAATAAAACTCTACTAGACACGGATTGTAGACTCCCTAGGATAGAAGTGCTCTGATACCACTTTTGTCATGACCCAAACCGATAGGCCGTGACGGGTACCCAGTACCTTATTCAACCGAGTACCAACGTAACATATCTTTTCATATCATACTATTATAGGTAAATGAGATGGAAAGGCTGCCGTGAAATAACCAGAATAAAACATAAGGGAATATTCGACATAGGACGACCCAACATGTAATACAAACTTATACATATGACATATGGGCCTATAAGACCAAAATGATCACTCGTATACTAAACATAGGCCGACAAGGCCATACAATCTTTCACGTACATGACATATGTCTACAAGCCTCTAAGAGTAGATAAATACCTTAAAGGTCGGGACAGGGCGCCACCATACTATTCAATACATGTGCAAATCATACTGACCAAATAAGTAACTCCGGAGCAAATGGAGCGCACCGACACCTTCCGCTGAGCAGATAGCCTACTTGGAGGACTCTCAACCTGTCTATCGAGATCTGCGGGCATGAAACGCAGCATCCCAAGGGAAATGCGACGTCAGTACAAATAATGTACCGAGTATGTAAGGAATTGAAATCAATAAATAAAAGACATGGGAAAAACATAGAGTAAAAGACTCAACATGTAAGTCTGAATAGCTTTGTGAATCATTTCATATTTATAATTTCATACATATGCAAATAAATGTCATACCATGCATAGTTATATGCGTACATAACATCATCAAGCCTCTGAGGGCATCCCATCATATAATATCGGCCACTTTGGGCAAATCATCAACGTATACCAGCTGATCAGGTGGTGGTGCGTATATAACGCCGTAACCTTTCCCCGTATCCCATATACATATATTATACGCGTATATAACGTCATCTGGTCATGGGTCAATGTACATCTATAAATGAATGAAATGCATAATAAGTACGTTAATAAGATTTCTCGGAATGTCATAAGATCAATATGCCTTTCGGATAACTTTATGAACTACATATTTTTCTGAGACCCATGAATAGAAGATATAATAATATTTTATATGGGGAATCAAGAACATAGGTACCCTTAGTACTTCTATGAATAGAGTCATTTGTGAAAGTTGTGCGTTTGGCAGCAAGCTGATCTCATTCAGCGATGAAAGCTTTCTTGTCCAAAATCATCTTTTGTAAGCCTTCGGTGGAAAGGAGGTTAGCATAAAAGGTCAAAGATTAAAATTTTAAAGACAATATCTAGCAAGAAAAAGGGGCCGAAAAGAAGATTAAATTGATACCTAAGCAGAAAAGTGCACGCTGTTGTTAATCTGACACTCAGCAGAAAGAGAATCCATCTTTCTCCAATATTTGTTCGAAGCCAGAAGCTTCAAGTAGTTGGCGACCCCCACCATCTAGGAGAGTAGGTGGCACTCATTCGTAACCGTAAGGATGACACTTCGTTTACCATTGTGGTTTTGAGTGGGTACCGGGTAAGTGTTCTCTATATTCCCAAGGTCAGGTGACTGAGGGGAACGAACATCATCCATTTGTTCGGTTGGAACCGGTGGGAAGGTAGGGGTTAATGGTGTTGCGGCTGGTGTTGAAGTCGAAGGAGGAGGAACATTAGAGGAAGAAATTCTCTGACCGGAAGTAACAACAGGAGCCCGAAAATGAGACTCAACATTTTCAACTGTTTCTATTTTCGTGAAAAGCGCTTGAAGTTCTCTCGGTTGAGGTAATTAAAGTTCTCTCGGCTGAGCATCCGGTTGAGCTGGAGGAGATCTTTTCTTTTTTTTGAAGAGGAATTGATTTATCATCAGTTCCTTCCTCATCAATGACCACAGTGGTCGGTCCAGTTGGAGCTTCTTTTGTTGAAGTCTTCTCCCGAGTCTCAACCATAAAGGTACGTTTTCTTTTTGGTTTTTTAACCCTAGGTTGGGGACTCAGGGAAGAGGTACCTTCACCGGAAGCAAGAGTGGCTTCATGAGCACTCTTCCAGTCAAGAATTGCTTAAACTTGTTGATGGGCCACTGTTGGGTCATGAGAAACCTCAACAATATGGCAAATTGAAGATCCCTTCGGAAGGCATCTGTATTGCGGAAGGGATTCAACAAATTGAATCTAAATCTTGTCAAAAATTGGAAGGAAAAAATAATAACTTTTACTTACTATGGTTCTTGGCTTTCCAATTAAATTTGGGTGTAATTGCTTTCCACCTACGTGAATCCGGTGTGGAAAAGCCTAAAATTTTCTGTACCCATTGGGTCAGATTATTAACTGATGGTGGTTCCTACCAGATAGCTAAAACAAAGGAAATAAAAGTTAGCAAAGGAGGAAATTCTCTTTAACATAATAGAAAAAGGATATCTGAAAACTTACAAGAAAAATTCCAAGATTCAGGGATAGAAGGGGTTGTTGCTGTAAGGATGTCCATGGTAGCAATGATAATGAATCGTTCCATTCAACCACGGGCATTGTCGTCATCGACACTAGTAACAATAGTATGATGGCCATGTTTGCTGAGTTTGATCACGCCTCCACGAAAAATCTTTGGGGAGTAGAGGTTGATAAAATGGGCAAGAGTGAGGGTTTCTCCGGCCTAGGAACACAATTTATGAAGGCAAGCCACCGTACGCCATATTGATGGGCGTACTTGAGCTAAGAAGATGTAGTAATGGTGGCAAAATTCTACAATAATGGGATCAATTTCTTGACCCAATCTTAATGTAATAGAGTATGTATAAACACACATGAACCCAGATTTGCTAAAGATGACCCTTTTCAATTAATTAGGGTCTAAGATTTCGATGATTTTCCAGTCACAATCTTCCTTTACAATAGGTATACTAACAGGGCAAATGGAAGAAGGATATTTGCGGACAAGCCAATTTCTGTCATTTTTGGGGTTGATAGTTTCCTTTTGAACTTAGGAGGTTCAGCTTCGACATCAACTTCGTTAGTTTTATTATTTTTAGAAGGGCCACCACCGATGACAAGGCCAGAGTTTTCGGCGGCAGAGGTGATAGAAGACATGGTGGTAGAAGATCTGAGTAAGAAGATTTTACTGAGAAACAAGAGTTTTGTAGTTGAGTTCTTTGGAGATTAGGAGAAGAGGAGTTTGTAAAAGTGAAAGGTAAAAGTGATGAGTAGTGAAGAAGTTTATAGGCGGGAGAATTCATGGTCATGATTATCTTGAAAATTGGCAAAATATTTGGCGAATTACGGGATAACACGTGTTCGGATCATTAAATGCAAGGAGACGTGTGATGTGTTCTGATGTCTTCCTTTCAAATTTTTGTTCTCGGTTCCAATGCCTTCAGAACTTATTCAGCACCGGTCATATGTTTATATCCGGTGCCAACTATTTGCTCATTCATATCTTACATGTCTTTACTTTCACGTGTCAACTCGTCGAGCATCCGCCTGTCGTTTATCAATATAAAGATTTGAATAAGGCATGCTCTAAAGACTCTTTCCTATTGCCGAACATTGACTAAATGATCGATGCTACTGCCAGACATGAGTTAATGAGTTTTTTTTACGTGTATTCTGGGTATAATCAAATTAGGATGCACCCGGAGGATCAAGAAAAAATCTCGTTCATCACAAATATTGGCACTTATTGCTATAATGTGATGCATTTCGGGCTAAGAATGCCCGAGCCACTTATCAAAAACTCGTTAGTAAAATGTTCGAACAATAAATTGGTAAAACTATGAAAATTTATGTTGATGATATGCTGGTTTAGTCTCTTAATGCAGGAAGTCATTTGACTCATTTACAAGAGACGTTCGACATTTTGAGGAAATACAGTACTCAGCTCTAATACAAAAATTACAAGCCCATTTCCCAGATTAGGATATCAAAGTTTCGATCCCTCTTACGTATTCAACCAAAGTTCATTTGGATGGTTATGGTTTCTGCGCATCAATTTGCAATCTTCCTTTTTAACCATATACGCACCCTCTTTGTGTTTTGGCCCACCCCTTTTCATCACTAAGATGTCTTGGATAATCATGCCGAAATTCGGTAACAACATACCTTAAATTGTTTTGCAACTTTAATTAAGATTTTTGGTATTGTCGTTCATACCTTTATATTAGTACTTCATTTTCATATCGCCTGCCAATTATCAATCAACTTTACTAAAACACGATTTGCTAATCCACCCTCATGTTCGAAAAAACATTCACCCTCATGGAATTTTAAATTTTTTTAAAAAAATAAAAAAATAAATAAATAAAAGCTAATCTTTTTAGAACTTTAATTGAGATTTCCAGTGTTGTCGTTTTATTATCCTGCCGATTATTAATCAATTTTACTAAAATATGATTTGCTAATTCACACTTGAGCTTTAACAAAAAATAAAAGAATTGCACATTTTCTAAAGAGAAGACATGATCTTGTAAATAATTTCAAATACTCTTTGTAATTCCGACATTCTCTGAAGATCAAAAAAATCTAAAATAAGTGACAAAAAAAAACTACAAAAAGAATTTAAAAAAAAAACAAAACCTTGTTTATTTCCTATGTTCTAACTCTAGATTTTCTTGTTTAGGCCCACTTGGCCAAAAGTGACATACAACCAGCCCCTAGAAGAAGAAAAACGTTAGCTTCAATTTGAAGTTTTGGACTATCTTGCATTCTACTGCTCATAAAATCTGCTGCAAGGAGATCCACTAAAGCCATGTAAACCAAAATTCCAGCAGCAATAGAATTGAAAATGCCCTCAACCATGAGAGCTGTTGGACTGGTCTCACTATACACAGTTGATATTCCAAATCCAATTGCAATTCCCATTGGTGTTGTGAGGGAGAAGAAAATTGCCATCATTGCTGTTTTTCTCAACTTGAATCTTGCCTGTTGATGTAATCAAATCAAAATAATTTAGCCAACAACTAATGATTCCAATTGATATCCCAAAAAGAACTTATGCTTTAAAACTCCTTTTCTCTAAATGTCCTTGTTTATACACAATATCAAGAGTTTATAAAACTTATGAATTTATCCCTTTTTTATAAATCCTGATTTTCAGGTCAATTTACTCGCATCTCAGCTAATTCTACGAGAATTTATAAGTAAAATTTATCTTAAGAGCTCAAGATAGTATACCTCAGATATGCAACCTCCTAAACCAATGCCTTCAAAAAGTTGATGAAAAGTTAATGCCGCTACAAGGGGTTTAATTGTCTTGGGAGATTCTGAGGCACCCAAAGATATACCAATAATCACCGAGTGGACCAAAATTCCCAATTCCAAAACCTGTTAAAAAAAAAGAAAAAGAAAAAGATATGAGTGCTAACATTTCAGTCACGAAAAATTAAATTAAGGCAAAAAATCAAATAAAATCTCTTTGTTCCGTTTTTTTTTTTCCTTTGCCACTTTGATTACATATTCGCTTTGTACAACTTGTAACTTTATCTCCACTTCCAATTTATGTGTAAGTATCCACATCACGAGTGGAATGGAATAATACTTTAGGAACCGTTTCACATATCCAACACTACTTATTTTCTGTTAAAACAATGTTTTGTATCTCAAATTAAAGAAAATACTAGCAAAACTTCGTCATTTTTTTATGCAATTATTTCTGTCAGTATTATTTTCTGATGCACATTTATCCCTGTCAATTTTGTTGGTTTCCACCCGATATTTTGTACCCCATTACATACCGGACTAGTCCTGATTGGGGCCCGTAAGCTCTATTAAAGGAAAAAAGCGCCCTATTAAAACTCTCGACGGTGAAAAAGGCCCGTCAATTAACTCTAATAGTGAGTAATGACTCACAAAAAATAGGGCATACGGGAATTAAGGGGCTTTTGATGAATCTAGACATATATACCTGTGAGATAACTCGTCGACGAGATAAATCCAATTCAGAACCCTCTTCTAATGGCACAACCGAGCCATGAGCATGTCCATGAGTTGAATGAGTATGTACATGAACATGATTATTCTGATTAATCATACCACCCTCTTTTTCTTCATCACTATTCACAGGTTTCTGTCTCTTTAAATGAGATCTCCTAAAATAGCTCATAGCTACCAAATCCACCATCATTGTCCCAATTGCCGCAACCATTGCTATAAACCCCGCAAACGGGAAATCACCCCACGGCTTTTCAGGAAGGCAAGGGCTAGACAAGCTCTCGAATGCATCGGGCAATATGTGAACGAAACCCGTGGCGAGAATCACGCCCGCCGCGAAAGCTTTGACGAAGAAAAATATATTGTTTTCGGGGTGTAATGCCGGGAATATTTTGCCGAGAATTGGAATTGATATACCTATGGCGCCCGCTAGCAAGATAGAAGCAACGGCTACCAGTTTGTACTTTAACGCTTCCGTTTTGTTTCTGTCCTCAGAATCTTCATCGCACGTACATTCGGATGAAACTAAAACTGGGAACAAAAACAGAAGAAAAAGCGAAAAAGCAACCACTTTGTTCATGGTTGTAGTACAAAGAGGTAGAGAAGTTTTGGTGGGGCTTTAGAAAAGATTTGTAAGGTTGTATATATAATGAAAAAAAAAAGTTGGGGTGGGGTAGAGGGGTAAAGATTGACCAAGAGACTGATGCTGAAAATAAGGGGGAAATGTTACTGAACTGTGCTAAGAAAATTGAGAAAACATGGCGACATCCAAAGCCATGCAGAAGAGAAAGTGTAAGGCTAAGAAGGAGAGTAGTGGACAATTGTCAATTCTAGTGGGAAAATGACGACATAGTGAGTTATATATAAGTAAATAATGATGTGGGGTCTAACAACCGTAAAAGCTCTTAATTTGTGATTATCTATTTGTTGTGTAATTCACTTTTACTTGGACTATAATTAATTTGTATACTCTTTAATGTTAAATTCTTCTTTATCGCTATGTAAAGCATGATGTTATTTTACTACCTTTCATAATATGAAAAGGAAATTACATTTTACGTTTTACCTACTGATAGCCATTTAATGATTACACCTGAATAAAATATATAGAGGATATCTTAGCAGAAGGTTGTGAAAAAATCCCTATAGTGATGCATATTAATTGAAAGTTTTTCCTACTAAAAAAAGTAAGTCCAGTTTACCACTTTAACCTTTATTAAGTTTAGGAATACCGCTATAATCACCTCTTCAGTAATTTTAAAGATGATCGATGACGTAAAAATTTCAAGGTGAGAGTATTTTGTCTATCATATAGCATGGCGTTGCTCTCGAGGTATGGAACTTAAGTTAAGTGTTTTAAAAGGTATTTTTGGACAGAGGCATAGTAAAAATGTATGGCGAACATCGAAAGAGACAAAAAAAACTCGTAAAAATAGCACGAGCTAATCAATTTTCGGACTGATAATTGAAAAATAGTCAGTGTTTTTAAAGTTATTAAAAATAGCCACTATTTTACTGCAACACGAAAATTTCTAGCATAATATACTGGAGATTGGTGCACCTGTGTATGAACTTCTAGCATATTATGCTGGAACTCCAACACACGGAATATTCCAGCGTACCTGGAGATTGGAGCACATGTGTATGAACTTTTAGCATATTATGCTGGAACAGTATATTATACTGGAACTTCAGTATATTATGCTGGAAGTCCAGTATATTATACTGAAACTCTAGTATATTATGCTGGAATATTTTCCGAATTTTGAATAGTGTTTTCGTTCAGATTTATCTTTACACGAAAAGTGACTAAATTATGATTACTTTTGAAACTGTAGCTATTTTTTAATTATCACTTGTAAATCTGATTATTTTTTAATTTCTCCCAAAAAAAAAACTCGTGAAGTGTAACCCCATTGTTTAAGGCGTTAGGTGTTGGACAAGTTTTTATTTTGGAACGTAAGTCCAAAAAAGGGGGAAGTGCACAGTTATCCATTAATAAGACATGTATTTATTTTTAAGCCACTATATAAAATATCTTTATTCTTTAACCATTGCTTTAATAAACTTTACTCGCCCGGACAAAAATATCTTTCTGCTATAATTCGCTGAAACCTACGCAGATTGCAGAGAACTTCGCTCAAAACATCGCTCAAATTAAGAACCAAGTATCCTTAATTTTTGAACTTCCAACTCTAAGTTTAGGACCAAGTGTCCTTAACTTATGAGCTTGTTACTGTAAGTTCAGGACTAGTTGTCCTTAATTTATGAGCTTGTAAGTTTAAGTTTAGGACTACCTCTCCTTAACTTTTGAACTTGTAACTCTAAGTTCAAGACTACATGTCCTTAACTTTTGAACTTGGAACTCGAAGTTCAAGACTATATGTCCTTAATTTTTGTGCTTGTAACTCTAAGTTCAAGACTACATGTCCTTAACTTTTGAACTTGGAACTCGAAGTTCAAGACTATATGTCCTTAATTTTTGTGCTTGTAACTCTAAGTTAAGGACTACATGTCCTTAATTTCTGTGTTTGTAACTCTAAGTTAAGGACCAAGTATCCTTAATTTTTGAACTTCCAACTCTAAGTTCAAGACCAAGTATCCTTAATTTATGAGCTTGTTACTGTAAGTTCAGGACTAGTTGTCCTTAATTTACGAGCTTGTAAGTCTAAGTTAAGGACTACCTGTCCTTAGTTTTTGAGTTTGTAACTCTAAGTTTAGGACTACTTGTCCTTAACTTTTGAACTTGTAACTCTAAGTTTAGGACTACTTGTCCTTAACTTTTGAACTTGTAACTCTAAGTTCAAGATTATATGTCCTTATTTTTTGAACTTGAAACTCTAAGTTCAGGACTACCTGTGAATTTAGTATAAATATTTAATACTTTTTGTATGTTTATAGAGTTAGATTTATTTTGTAGGATTTGTTGAACATGTTCTTCATAGATGTATACAAGCCAATTCCAAATAAGTACAACTTGGTATTAGCTATGTTGTGGCGTCACCCAGAGAATGTGGAACTTGATAAGGTAAAAGTTGTTCACTACTGTGCGGCGGGGTCAAAGCCATGGAGGTACACTGGCAAGGAAGAGAACATGGACAGAAAAGAGATAGAAGAAAGGGTAACACCGTCTTTTCATATTAATTTTAATAGACTAGTGGCTACTTTTGCTCAGCATTAAAAATGCTGGATAAAAAATAAATACCACTTTAAAAAGTGGCTATCCCACGCAATTTCTACTCCAAAAAATCTCTCCGAATTAGAATTAAAATTTCTAAATAAATTATTAATTTAATATAAAAATCACAAAGGCCAGTTTGTTATTAAAAACTTAACGTCGGGTTTCTTTTAATTGTTAGTCCTAATTATTATTCTTTCTCTTCATCTTCTATGGGTATAGGAAAAAATGGTCATTAATTTGCAAACTACAAAGCAAAAACGCATCACCATCTATCACTTGCATAAGTTCGATTCTTTTAACTGTAGGTTCCTTTTTCACTTTTATTTATTTTAAGTTTTTTTTTACTATTTCAAGTTAGGTGACAAAATTCCTACTCAATTTTTTAAAAGTTTCATTAGGTTTTTTTAGATGCATTAGTTTTTTGATCAATTGCTGATTCTGATTAGCATCTTAAGAAGAAGCAATTCTGCAATTATATACAGTTCCACCTATTTTGTATTTTTTAAAATTTTTATGATTTATGTGTAACTTTACCTTCTTTTAATATTATTTCTATAATATTATTTTTATTAAATATTAAAAACTAAAATTTTATGGTTCTTATACCCAGTACCTCAGAAGTTTATGTTTTGCCCGTATTAGATAAAATATCTCGCCCCATGTCTATACCTTTTAATATACTGCTTTAGCCTCACAAAACTTTTACCAAAATTGATGAAATTATATAAATTACATAAAAAATTGTATATATTCAAAGAAATCTGTACAAAAATCAAAGTATATACAGTTCCATCTTAAGAAGAAGCAATTCTGCAATTATATACAGTTCCACCTATTTTGTATTTTTAAATTTTTTTATGATTTATGTGTAACTTTACCTTCTTTTAATATTATTTCTATTATATTATTTTTATTAAATATTTAAAACTAAAATTTTATGGTGCTTATACCCAGTACCTCAGAAGTTTATGTTTTGCCCGTACTAGATAAAATATCTCGCCCCATGTCTATACCTTTTAATACACTGTTTTAGCCTCACAAAACTTTTATCAAAATTGGTAAAATTATATAAATTACATAAAAAAATTGTATATATTCAAAGAAATCTGTACAAAAATCGAAGTATATATTATTATTATATGTATACCGTTATCTTGTAAGTCATTAGATTCTTAATTATAGAGCAATAATATATTAGTATACACTTTATAGTTAAAAGTTTCACCATTGGAAGCATTAGTACCATGAGACTTCAACCTTTGCTGATCGCATTGGGTTATCTTGTCCCAAAGAAATCCTAATTTTACCTTTTAAAATATTATTTTTTCTTATTTGTCTTTTGCTCTTTTTTCTTGGCCGTAGAAAGTTGATTTACTTTATATGTCCGCTGAGTGCGTTGCATCCTCAGCAATACCGCATTAACTTATTGAGACAGAAGGAGTTAACTAAAAGTTTATTCAAGATTACACTGTTTACAGAATGAGAATTTCTTTTCTATTTTTTAAAAAAATGGCTGAAAAACACTTGTATATAAACGTCAACTTGAGACTGTTTTACAACATACTCCGTACTACTTTTTAGTATATTATTGTCTCTTTTTATTAGTTAAAGCCAAACAGTAAATAAACTTCCTGCTTTCCAACTCAAGCATCGTGTAAAAATCTTAAAATAATGATTTAATTATTCTGCAGCCATTTTAAAAGTGGGAATATATAAGAAAAAAGGCATACGCAAAAGTTGACTCAGCAGTTATAAAGTGTAATCTTTGTTGAAAGAACAAGATCACTTTGACATAGTAACTGTTTATATTTTTTATGCTTTACCAAGAAAAGAAAGGATGGGAATGCTCAAAACAAGTTCTTAATTTGATTCTTCCATAAATAAAATTGAAGGACCATAGAAGTTGTCCTTATTCTCTTTTGGACCTATACCCTTCAAAATAGACTAAATCTTGCATAAAGAAAGAGATAAAACGTTGCGTCATACTTATTTTACGTACTTGATTGAGCATGCATATTGTACACCAAATATCTTATATAATTGGGGGTTCTAGTTGAATGTATTAGCATAATTAGTTTCAATATAAAATCCCCTATAAAATAATATAACGTTTGGTTAAGTGAACAAGAAAAACTAATTGGCACATAACTGATTTATCATTTAATTGGCAGCTTAAGGTAAACAAATTCCCCATAACTAATAAAGCAAATAATGATCTCATTAAGGTTTGCATAAATAACAATACCTGTATTAGTGATACGAGAATAAACTATTTAAAGAAAAAAATAACCTCTAAATAATTCCTACGTATCAATCCTTTCTTTATTAATTATCGGATAAAAATTCATTCATTATTAATCACCTCATAACAATCATTTTATTATTAGTCACCGTTGAACTCTTCATTGTAATCCTTCCATAACAAGTATATAAGTCTAATGATCCCTTCATCGTAATCCTTCCTTAATTAGTATATGAATCAAATGATCTCTTATATATGTTTTCTTGAAATTTTTTATATATACAAATAAAAACTGGCTTATCGATTATGCTAAAAATTATAGATTTTAATTAGTTGACTCCAACTTTTTGAGAAGAGGAAAAAAAAAACTAATATGATTTACGGTCCAAATGTTTGATTCTCACATAAAAAGTTCAT